CCAGTACGCGCTCTGGAGCTTTAGCTTATGTGCCCCAGATTCATTGCCACCCATGCCATGGAGCTTGTCTGCATAAAGCAAAAGCCAAAGTCGTCAAGTTGTATCGGTTAACCAAGTCCAACGTTGCAATGGAAAGGTAGTTCAGAGATCACTTTAAAATCCTTTATACCCTTGTAGCAAGAAGCAGGTTACGTTTTTGAAAGGCGGGTCTGTGCTAAGCCATAAAAAGGACAGAGCGGAGGATTTGGCCGAAAAGAACAGGAGAAAGCATAGAAACGCTAAGTCCGTCATCACTAAGGACCCATCAAAACCCAAGCCGCTCCGAACCGCCCAAAATTAACACGAACGCTCCGAACCGCCCAAAAATTGACGCCAACGCTACAACACACCCCGAGGGCACCGCGAACATTTTCGCTTGAGCGATGACGGAAAGAGCTTTTTTTTAACCATTTCTGGGCAGTCTTGTGAGAAGTGTGCCCCTGCCGCATACTGTTAACGAAATCGCCCACATCGCATGCGCTTTCAGCATACGCCAGTGCGTTCAACCACTCGCACAATACCCGTTGCGTTGGTACATCCCTGGCACCGTCGTAGAATTGTCATTTTGTTTGATCAAACGGCTTTCTGTCTGAAAGGTAAACGCCCACTAACAATTTTGCGCTTCATGCCGCTAAGCAAACGGAAACTGTCAGCAGCTATGTTTTATTGCTCAACAGCACATATTCATTCACACATTTTGATAACGTCCGGCAGTGGTGAGCCGTGCTCCCATCATTTTCCACTAGCTTTATGATTATGAGCCCACTTAGTGGTATCCGTGGCCCCCGGTGTAACCACCGTAGCCTCGGTAGCCTCCAGCGTAGCCACCGTAGCCCCTGTAGGCCCCAGCGTAGCCACCGTAGCTTCCGTAGCCACCGTAGCCTCCATGCCCACTGTAGCCTCTAATTCCTCCAGCGTAGCCTCTTCCGAGACCTCCAATGTAGCCGCCCCCAACTCCTCCAAGGTGTCCTGCATGACCTCCATGGTAGCCTCCTGCGAGACCGCCGTAGCCGTAGCCGGGCGTCAGGTAGGCACTCTGAGCGTGGGTGTTGACTGGCACGCCGGCGGGCACGACCGCCGATATACCGCTGACGCCACCGTAGCCACTGGCAGCGGCCACCGCCACCAGACAGGACAGGATCAACAGCTGAAACGACGACACAGACATCAGTCACGTGACCTGGCCTTGCGCTGCTTGAGGCTCAAGCTGCTTCTTTCGGCATCCGTGAGGCTGCCTGGGCTAGAACGTGTCAGACGAAAAAAACTGAAATATATGCTGTTTAAGCCACTAACAGTCAACTTCTGGACGTTCACAAGGCAAGTAGTTTTGTCGGAACAAAATCTGAGTAGCGGCCTCCGATTCTTGTTTTGTAGTTCAGTGAGAAGTGGCCGTTGTAATAAAACGGTCCCAGATGTTGAAATTTGTTGAAGAGGCCATTAAGTTTCATACTGATCGGTACAAAAGCATAAAAACGAGTGATTGTGATAAAAGGTGTGCAGATCAGCGCCTGGCGCACCGTCCGGGCTGCCCAGACCCGACCTGCCCGGCTCTACCAGGCTCGATCTGCCCCGGTCTGCGAGACCCGATCCCCCGCACTCCGTGCGGGTAGGCGCTCAACGAGCTACAGGGGCGTGGCCGGTGTGAGACAAGCAGAGCAAGTAGCTGACTGGAACAGAGTAAAATCGCTTTGAAAACAGAACGACTGTGGGTGTTGGCAAAACATCGCACCGCTTTGCTGCTCTTCAATCATAACTGTCTTTAAAGCGGACGGAGGTGATAATTCCGCTTGAGTGTGAAACTAGTACTGCGAAGCCGCGAATTATGGCTGGTGGGCTCCAAATGTGACCTGTGGCCAAGCGATTAAGGTGCTGACGTCACAAAGCAATGCCCTATTCCCAGCTGAAAAAGCCTTCGGCCCGACAGCAGGGCCTGTGCGAAGACTGCGCATGAATGCGCGTGATAGATCAGGCGATCTGTGCTGCGCGCAGACTCCAGAGTCCCCGCTCCCTTCCGGCACCCCAGCTCCTAGGACATCCGGCGCACCACATACCTTCATGTTACAGAACGGGACGTGAGCGGGTGTTCGCTGCGAGGAATGCCTGCTGAAATCCGTCCGCCCGGCGCTTTTATACGGGCTGGCCGCTGCGTGCGGCGCCTGGACGCCAGCACGCACGGCCACCGACGGGCGCCGCCCCGCACGCGGCCGCGGCCACCGGCGGGCGCCGCCCCGCACGCGGTCGCGGCCATGAGGGTCTGCAGGGCAATCGTTCCCGCCGTTTCACAGCGCGATCGCGCGCTTTCGCTCTCCTTGAACGGAGGATTGATCCCGGCCACTTTCGAATAAGGCGGCGGTGGAAGCCGAGTGTTGCACGCGGAGAGGGCGCGGCAACCCTCACAGGCGCCGGCGTGCGTGCCAGTGAGTGCCGAGTACCGCAAAGGTATCGTACAGCAAGGTGGCATCAGGCGGGGGTGCCAGGACCTTGAGGACGCATGGGACCTCATCGGACCCGTAACATTGGCAGTACGAGGAAACACATACGGTATGAGCCGGGAAGCCATCTCTGTACAAGTTTCCTCGCAATGGCGACGATCTGATGATGCAAGCAGACAGTAGAAATATGGGCTACAGAGCCATGCTCTGTTTTGCGAATTTTCAGACGGCCCCTTCACTATTCATCAAACAGAAGACTCGTAAGATTTATGACGGTGACACGGCCAATATTTTCAACACCGCTTCAAAGTGGTAATTCCGGCATAAATCGTAAGAGTCACAACTGTAAATGCCACGGCTTACAACCCGCCAATGCGAACGATCTATATATCTGCTTTCAAGACAATCTGGTGCATGGTGGAATTCAGAGATAACCATGGTGTATTTCGCAAGAGGTATCATGGCCATCATGCGTTAGTTATTTACTTCCTCTTGCCTTGGTGCATCGGGTGCGGCGTAACCTCTGGAAATGCTGGAAATTAAACGCCTGCCTGAGCTAAGGGGCTTATCATAGCACAGGAGTGCTGGCACTGCGAGGCCACATGGGAACGAATACCAGCCACGGGCCGTTTGATACGATTTCTTCGTTTCCTCCAGCAGTTTTGTTCCTCGAATAAGAATAAGTCGGATCAAAATCAAACCTCACTCACTGAATTTGTTCCCCGATAAAAATGCGGCTATTTTGAAAAAGAGCATTTATTGCATCTCCAAATTGTGCTACCACTCTCTACAGTTTCGTGAGCAACCACATAAAACATCATATCGAGTAGAAAACACGACAGTAGCATCTTCCCCCATGAATGGACCTAATTCATAACAAGCTCCAAGCAGATGAGCAGCTTTCTTTCATTCAAGCCTGGATACATGTTCCCCCCCGCCATAGCGCATCGGCTGTGGAAAAATGTGCATACAGTTTGTGCGCCATTTGTTCGAAGGATAAAATTCGTACGCCTGTAGTTCGTCGGGAAAATATACGTAGGTTATGAATTTCGTGACATGAAAAGTTCGTTCTTAAGAGGTTCGTTCCCTGAAGATATCCGTCGGTAAAAGATAGTAACAACCATGTGTATGCGCCTAAAAGTGCGCATGGCAAAAGGTTGTGCGAAATGTGATGAAGGATATAAGTACGCAAGATCCGTTCACCAAAGTCTCTAAGTATAAAGCTCATTTGACGAAGAACCTGCGAGATAACCCGAGCCTCAGCTCCTATGTTCATTCTAAACTCCACTTGGACGGATGATTTGCTGATCTCCGCTGGAAGAGTCTCATAGAACTCCGTCCCAAAGCAAGCATGTCGGCGTTTGGGAAATGGCAGTCAACTTCATCGCCACTGAACATTAGTACAAGTGAACTTTGATGGATAAAGCGGGGGCAGCGTGCTGGTGGCAAAAACAAAACACAAAAAGTGAAAAATCACAGAATAATAGGCATTGACAAAGGCCGTGATGCACGCCCCTTGCCTTAACCAGCCACACACCGAGATGACGTCACCAATGGATGCGACACGTGGCATGTCGAGTCGTGCCGTGTGAAGCATGCCTGGCGTGCCAAGGCGCCAGTCTGTTCTCAGTGAAGTCAAGCATGGGGCGACAAAAATTACGTTGCATGCCGCCTGCTAAAGAGCATGGAGTTTTGGTGAACGTCACCCAGAATGTGTCAAACCAGACTGCATAAGATTTTAAACGATTCCTGTGCGCATTTCTTCGTTTAGTACGCCTCCCATAACGTGTCCTCGTATGAGGGTAGATAAATAGCCTTACGTTATAATAGTGCCATTCTGTTTGCTGTTGAAGAAGCGTGGGCTGCCAGATGGGTGAAGACCAGAAAAAGAGCAGCTGAGGATGAACTAACCACCACGGTATCACTAGATTGTACCGCAGCTTCGAGCTGGCGTGATGTTTTTAACCGTCAGCTCAGAACCGGCAATGACAGAGATAGGATATCTGTCGCGACCTTTGAATCCTTTCCTCTTCCCTCTCCACGCACCGGGTGATAGCAAACGCCGAAAAATCGTGCCCATAGCCACTCGCCTTCTGATTGTCATCCATCCACCATCCTGCAGGTCAACAGGCAACAAGCCAGTACTTTTAGAACTTAGCGTCATCTATCTGTCTTAAATGACCTATATGGCGTTGGAAGGGCTTGATGAAGTTTCATTGAAAATGTAAAAGCTCCCTGTAGCTCCCGGTAGGTGACGGATGCCGCCAGGTTTGGCTCCAGTGCGGAGTGTTGAACATGAATGTTTGAGCATATTGTTCACCGCTAACTGTAGACGACGGCTGCAAGGGCAGGTCGTCAGTGAGGCGACATAACTACAGGTTGAACAGCGCAAGAACACGCTCGCCACTGCAGTGTATTTCAGCAAGACACAACACAAGAGACAGAGTGTAGACACACCAGTCTCGAGGCCACAGGATGGCTCGGGGCTCAGTCGCCATGTTGCCGGCACGCGGCGCCACCTGGCGCCGACTACACGGGCTCCACCAGCGGACCATCGCGCTGTTGCGTGCCGATGCCGCCAGGGGCGCTGCGCGCGGCCCAGGAGCGCAGCACGTACGCCTGGCGGCCGGGCAGCGCGCTGTCGTTGTGCGCCTGCATGTGGTGCCGGAAGGAAGCCAGCGGGTAGAATATCTGCGTGCGCGCCGTGATGTTGCCGGTGGTGTGTCCCTCGCGCGCGGCGCCTTTCGGCGTCAGGTCCACGAACCTGCCGGGTCGACACACGTGCCGCGCGTCAGACGTGGTCGGAGGGCGGCCCGCGGGTTCAGGGGTACGAGCTTAACACCGAACCGGTACACCACCCCACAAGGCGAACCGTCGTGATGCAAAGCAAGCTACTAGGGTGCAAAAGGCGGCATTTAGCCAGCGATAAAAGCTGCAAAGAGAAAATCTCTAAAACCTTCTGGTGTAATGGCAGCCTAATAGGTCAAATCAGCATTAATCCTTGACAATAAAAGACCGAGGATGCGTGTTTTTATAACAAACCTTGGCACTAATACACAGCGTGTTTCATCAAGACATACACGGAGTCGTGACCCAAATCATGTGTAGAGAGTAGGTGGCGTAGGACCAACCTGACCAGTGCAATGTTTTGACCAGTCGTGCCTGGTTTGGAACCTTCATTCGCGACAATTTGACACCCATTTATGCATCTTTATTATCATCACATGCCAGACAAAAAACGGCACGTGGCCAAAACTCAACATGCCAACCCTAAAAAACGAACGCTCCAGCTCAGCCAGGTGTCAGGACTCGTTTTCAACCGTGTCGCAAGGCTCACACAAAGAACGTACCATCGGCGATGTAAGAAAAAAACGGTGCTGCCATTTAAAGTCGTCCTTTGTGAAGAACCGCCTGGGGATGGCAGCCACCACCGCCGTGCGAGGGCTAATTCACAACGTCTCGCTTGTGGCAAACAAACACGCGAGCGTAGGTAGGAACTTTTTGTCCGCAAGCAAAACCAAGTGCGTCAAGCATTGCGCAGACCGGCTGAGCCATGACACCGGGATGCAGTGCTCTTCACCCTTCAACGCACTCGGAACGCGGTGGCGGCCGATAAAAACAGCACTTGGGCGTCTAAATGGGCCCCAGGTTGGCGCTTCTTGTGAGTCATTTGCTGACACATGCGCGGAACTACAGACCGGGTGTAACAGCACTTGGGCGTCTAAATGGGCCCCAGGTTCGCGCTTCTTGTGAGTCATCTCCCGACACATGCGTGGAACTACAGACTGAACGCGGGACGGACTTGGCCGTGTTTTAAGAGCTGTCGGCACCGCCAAGATTGGATGCTGCGCTGATAGGCACGCTTTATGGTGCGGGTCCCACCATGAGCACAATGGCCCGTATGCAGCGGCTCAGTCTGTTCTAGTGCATATGGAAATATGATGTGGTGCGTATCGAAATATGATGTGGTGCGTATCGAAATATGATGTGGTGCGTATCGAAATATGATGTGGTGCGTATCGAAATATGATGTGGTGCGTATCGAAATATGATGTGGTGCGTACCGAAATATGATGTGGGTGCGTATCGAAATGTGATGTGGTGCGTATCGAATATGATGTGGTGCGTATCGGAAATATGATTGTGGTGCGTATCGAAATATGATGTGGTGCGTATCGAAATATGATGTGGTGCGTATCGAAATATGATGTGGTGCGTATCGAAATATGATGTGGTGCGTATCGAAATATGATGTGGTGCGTATCGAAATATGATGTGGTGCGTATCGAAATATGATGTGGTGCGTATCGAAATATGATGTGGTGCGTATCGAAATATGATGTGGTGCGTATCGAAACTATGATGTGGTGCGTATCGAAATATGATGTGGTGCGTATCGAAATATGATGTGGTGCGTATCCGAAATATGATGTGGTGCGTATCGAAATATGATGTGGTGCGTATCGAAATATGATGTGGTGCGTATCGAAATATGATGTGGTGCGTATCGAAATATGATGTGGTGCGTAATCGAAATATGATGTGGTGCGTATCGAAATATGATGTGGTGCGTATCGAAATATGATGGGTGCGTATCGAAATATGATGTGGTGCGTATCGAATCGAAATATGATGTGGTGCGTATCGAATATGATGTGGTGCGTATCGAAATGTGATGTGGTGCGTATCGAAATGCGCAGCTTACACAGCCCGGGCGAGGAAAAATCTTAAACTAGTCTGCTCCAACATCAGCGCGCAGAAACCGTGCAAAATACACTCACATGATGCTTTGCACTTGCAGTCTGCGTTTTGCCACCCATCCTAAGCACAGCCACTTTGCCTAACCGCCCATCGTTTTCTGTTAGAAGACTCAGCTGTTGCCAATCTCACCTGTCCTTTGTAGTCGGTGCAGAATGACCTGGAGTCGAGCTGAAGTAGTTTAATAGGATTGTTGGAGTTGAAGCCGGAGCTGCTGATTTTCGTCGGAAGAAGATTATCCTTTGTTTCTTTATTGGTAGGATTGTCGAAGTCAAACTGGTATCGCCTATAAAGAAAAAGGCAGGATTGAAAAGTAAACTTGGAAGACTAAAACCTTTGAAAGCGATCAATACCCGCCCGACAGCGAACTCGTGATAGTCGCTTGCGGCGTACCTTCCTTGGCGACCAGTTGAAGTCATCTTTCTATCGTGAACTTCAACAACGAGAGTCAGATCATATCAAAGGCATATCACTAAAGTTGCTTAATATGTTGCGGAGCAAACTATGTGTTGGTGGCGCTCTTGTTCCAAATTCACCCAATTCAAACAACGTCATTGAGACCCATTGCAACATAGAGCTCAGAGACGATGGCATCAAATCACTTGATTCCTATTTGACACAAATCTTAAAGCACAGGTCAGAATTAAACATGGCAACGCAGCTACAACATCTGTCAGATTTGACAGCGCCAGATTGAAGCGCAGGCAGCCTCCCACCTATGTATAGGCACGTGGCTGAAGATGATTGATGATGAGGAGGAGATGACATGGATGGCGGGATTTGGGGGTTCATACCACCCACACACTGGAAAACTTAAAACTTGGAGGATCCGGGGTCCGACTGGTTGTATGGGTGGTTTCTTTTCCAAGCGCACAGCGCAGTAAAAAATGTTCTTGCTGAATGGAAGAGCTAAACAAGCTTTATAATACCGCGTTAAGTTCTTTTCTGGCTGAATAAAGTCCTCTCGCTGCTCAGCAGACCCCATATGGCTACCGCGGTCTCTCTTCGCGCCCAGTGGGCCCCACTGGCGACCATGGACACCCTGTCCGCTTGAGTCTCTTTATAGCTACTTAATATAGGTACTTACTGCCTTTTCCTTTTATCGCTTTGTGTCGTTTATGTTACAAGTGGCACACAATACATATCGTTGACAACCACAAATACACATCCTATGCAGTCATTGCAAATGGGTGCACCAGCAATCGAGTTCATAGGGAATCAGCTGCATTTCTTTACGCCGTTCGCTTTTGTCGTGTTACAAACATGCTACAAAAAGGTCTCAACAGCCATCTCAGACATCACGTTCCCGCCTCAGGTTTGTCCATTTCCTCTCATCCTGGATCAATGCTCCATGCGGTGTTGCGATAAAACCTTCCATTTATCTGCACTTTTCAAGCAGAGATAACGCGATTGAGATGTAGGCCTCAACCCCTCTGATTATGATTTTGAGGCATACAGCCACTTTATTCGTCAACTGATTTTAAGCTGTTCCCGGTATTACTCCCGACCCATTGCACTCAATTACGCCACTGATAATATTGTTTTCCGATAACTACGTTCTTATTTCTATTCAAAATCGTTGAACGGTGGTACAGTCCCAAAACTGGTGGCCAGTAGTACCCGTCACATTGAAATGCCCAGTCACTGCTTTCTGCAGGACCAGTGTTACAAAGAAGGCTGTTTGTAACATGGGTCCTTGTTATTATCTTATAATGCAGCGCCCTGTACCGTGAAGTTAATGTGGCTTCAAAGCTATTCCGCTCTGTATCACACCAGCAATTATTTTCGCCGTATCGTTATCTCCATTTGTCTCCCCATTTTTGATTTATTTTAAGGATTTGATCTGCACCCTTTGAATGGATGGATTTCTGGGATCAGACCAACGCTGTGCAGTGCTTGTTGCGCGAGCCCTGACCCCTACCATCCGATCGCGCAATTCCAGGCAATGACATAATTTAGCGGCAAAAGTTTGACGTGGCGCAGTGCTCGATGCGGCTCGTCTTGCCCTCTGACGTCAGCTGACCTTAAGCGCGACCGCTGCCACCGGCCACAGGTCACACCTGTCAAGAGCAAATAGCGAGCGCTTAAAGCGACTCGAACCCACCCCGCCACGGGTGGGTGGACCGGAATGCAGGCGTTCTAACCAACTGAGCCACCGGGATGGACACACCATCGGACATTTGTGTTCATGCCCGTGCACATAAGGACATTTGTGTTCATTCCCGTGATATTTGTCCAAGCAAGTATGATGTATACATAGTTGCCCCCTTGGAACATCACAAAAAGAGCGAAATCGCTGGATGAATAATAGGTGCTGGCAGCTTTTCCTTCCCAGAACGAACCAATGCACGCGGAAAGTTGTTTGTAAGGACCAAGTATTCTAACAATGTGCTGTGTATACCATATAAGCATCTTAACTTGCTGAACCTCGCCAGCAGACCATTTCTACAAAGCAAATTGTTCAGGATTATCTGACCTTTTACACGCCAGTCCTGTATCTATCTCTCGTTTCGCGAATTTCGTTACATCTGAATACCAAAGATGACACCGGCTAACTTCCAAGCATTCAAAGATCTTATACGCTTTCATGAGTCCACTACATTCTAAAGTTACTAACTTCCAAAGCGGACTTTTGGTGTTCCTTGCGACCATTTAAAGCGATGCCTTATTTCTGATTCAGATAAGTTTACCTTCACCAACCATGAGGGCAAATCTCTTGATTCATAAACGTGTCGAAATAATTCCCCTCTTAACCCGTGATGCATTGAAGGCAGCTATGCAAGCGTAAAGTCAGACGTGCCTAATCCTTCCATCATCTGCGTGCAGTCTCCCGAATCGCTCTATTCTGCTCTCCGTTACACAAGAACCTAAACAGTGTAATATTCATAAGTCGAAAAAATTTGTACTTGTGATCCTCATCGCTGCGAACAAGTGGTTAAATTTGGGTATGAAGAGGGTTTTATAACAGTTACCTTTTCCGTGCAATGCTAAATAGCTCTTCTACCGAGATCTTATAACTAGCTGCGTTTCATCGAGCCTCAAATCAAAACTGCAAGCGAACATAACCCCATCTTTGTTTTCGAAAACAATCCCTGACACCTTCATTCTCTCCATGCTCTGTATTTTCAAACCACGGCATATATGCTCCTTTTCCTGCGTTATTTCCTACCCACATTGCTTATGTTTTATCGATGTTTGGTGCCAATCCCGAGACTTTGTTCCCGCGTCCAGTAGGTTCTACCTGGCCTCTACGGACACCCTGGTCGCTCCAGTGCCCTTGTACCTACTTAACATAGCTACTACTCATTGCTTCTTGATACAGCTATAGCATTTTCCTCTGGCATTTTAGAATTCCTTCTGAGCGCGAAGCGACCGCGGGGCCTACTTAGTGTATCTTTGGCCGCTCAGAGGCCGCATCGACCTCTCAGGGTCCTCTGTGTGCCCAGCGTCTCTCTGGCCCCGCACGAACTGTTTAGCAGTCCAGTGCCTTTCCTGCTATTGTAGAGACCATGGCCGGTGGCGTCCTGACGACTCAGACGACTCAGAGACTTAACTGATCGGCCAGGGTCCCTCTGGCCACCAAGGGACACCTCTGGTCGCTCAGTGGCCCTTCAGGCCACCTGAGTGTTTACCCACGGCTCATTGGCCTCTCAGCGGCACGTTTAGTCCCTAGAGCCATTTGGCTGCGTCCCCACGACTCTCTAGACACTAGGGGTCTCACCATCTGCTCAGGGCCATCCATGCTATCTTCCTGCCGCCCAAGAAACCTCATGTCTACTCGTGGGTCCCTGACCGCTCAGGGGGTCCAAGGACGCCAGGGCTCCTTGTGAACTCCCAAGACTCTGTTTGCCCAGTGCCCCTCTAGCCTCAAAGGGGTCTTTTAGCTCCTCGGGGGTCGGTTTGGCCATTTTAAAGTCACCTTGGCTACTAAGGTCCTTCTGGCCGCCGGGTGGCTCGTTTGGTCGTTCAGGGCCCTCCAGCTGTACATCCCTATTTTGAACCTGCTCAGAGCTCTTTTTGGCCGCTCAAAAATCCCACAGTTCAGGTCAAGAGTCTTCCTGCTTCTTACGAACCTCGCAGCCGCTCAGGAAACTATGGCTGACCAACAGTCGCATTAAATACTCAAGGCGCCTACCCTTGCTTAGTGTTCATCTGGCCGCTCATGTGGCCTTTTCGCTACTCGGATGTCTTTCCGGCGGCTGGGGGTCACTGTGGCCACTGGAGAGCGATCTGACCATTGAGATGACCCGCCGGATAATCAGGGGTCCCACAAGTGATTCAGGTCTACTTTAGGCGCTCAGAGCCCCCATATTTGACACGTCTGAAAGCTATGAGCCTTTGGATAGTCGCGATCTGCTTAGCTGCCCAGTGCCCGTTTTCCTGCCCAAAGACCGTCCAGTTACCAAACAGCAGCTCAGTCCCTTTCACAAGCATGTCAGCCTTTTAGGTGGTCGTGATGACATGCAAACGAGCATGCGTTAAGTGGTCCCCTGGTGAAATATAAAGGAAGTCTTCGGCGAAACTACGTGAGTTGCCTTCTGCCTTTTGGTCCGGCTGTCCCGTGCATGAAATGCATGGCAACAATGCTGGATCGGCCGAGAGAATCCGGGTACATTCAGATAGGACCCTCTCATTCTCTATGGACCCGCTTGGCAAGGTTAATGATCCTATTAGACAATATAATTTGATTCTGAATAGTTTGAGCGGAATTGTGATGTCCTTGATGATGTTATTTAATAATCACGGTTTCAATCTAAATTCAACCCACCTTGGGCGTAGAAAAGTATCTAAAAAGTGATCTGCGCAAATGGGCGGAGTTTGATGAAATCCTGACAAAAGCTTTTATGTAGCTTTGGTTGGGTGAAATTGAAAAACGCGTGCCATGCTTTTGTCGAAACCATGGTGGAACTGAAACTGGAAAAACAAGGCCTTTGGTTTGCCAAAATGAATAATGAACGACAGGCTGGGTTGTTGCATGAAACGGTTGACAGGATTGTCCGGGATCAGTGATAGTTCGGTTAGCGCAAATTAATGAAAACACAAGTCATGGCATTTTCAAATGGAGACAACTGCTTAAGATTCGTCAAAATTACGCATACCTTCAGGTCAATAAAATTTAACAAACGTGCCACCACACTCAGGCCTGTATGCTGGTTTTCACGACAGGTTTATTTGTTTGGAAAATTCGCCGGCCTCTTTTTTGATAAAGTGACTCGAAGCCAATGTGCTGTACAGAGCGGAATGGAGGCTGCCACTATGAACCGTCCTGATGGCCCGCGGCTGCTGATCCTGAACACTCATTTTTGGAGGGAGAGTGACAAGGTCGTGGTCTGGTAGTCACGTCCACGCGCCAGGCCATGATCAGTCTCTTGGCACCGGGCGCTGGTAAGTGACGGGCTTACGTTCGCGGGGGCCGTAGGATGCCGCCCACCAGGACGGCGCGGTGGTGAGGGTAGCCGGTGCCCACGTCCCGCGTGTCGTTGTTGTTGGACGGCAGTCGGTCGGGCGGCCTCAGCTGAGGGGGAGGCGTCAACGTTAGAGAAACAGGGCGGCACACACGGCTCGTTAGGAGGATGTGGCTGTGGTTTAACGAGGTGGAACCAGCGAGCGAGAGAAAAAAAAGAACGAAGGCAAGAGAGAGAAGAGAGAGAGAGAGAGAAGAGAGAGATAGAGAGAGAGAGAGAGAAGAGAGAGAGAGAGAGAGAGAGAGAGAGAGAGAGAGAGATAGAGAGAGAGGAGAGAGAGAGAGATAGAGAGAGAGAGAGAGAGAGAGAGAGAGAGAGAGAGAGAGAGAGAGAGAGAGAGAGAGAGAGAGAGAGAGAGAGAGAGAGAGAGAGAGAGACGAATATCCTGAGAAAGGAGGGGATGAATAGCAGGAGGCCATGTAGAACAGACTTGAGACAACAGTCCTACCTGACCTCACAAACACTCAAGTGAAGCTATTGAACAGTTAGGTAAGGGCACCGTAATTCCGTACCAACAACAACATCGCGTGTATTATGTCATGCTTGGATTGCGTACAAAGCGGTTATTGTTGGCTAGGAGCAGGCAGCACACGTTCCCAGCTCCATCAGCGTTAGGGCCCCCGCCTGTCGTCCCCCCCCCCCGTCTCACGTGAACTGGCGGGAACTCGCTCTGGTAGGCGGTGGGTGGTGTGACGTAGTGCCGGGCCTGTGGGCCGCCCTCAGCCCCTCTCTCGTGCGTGAAGCCCGTCTCGCAGATGATCTCGGGGTTCTCCGGCGAGCAGGTGCCAGCCAGGTCCGCTGAAGAGCGGGCGTGGGACCTGTGAAGCTTTGCACCTCCTTTCGCCTGGGTCAAAGGAACTGATCCACTGGCCGTGACCCAAGAGGATGTCGGACAGAGTGGCAGCTTACAATGCAGCTTACTGGTCGGACGGCTGGGCTTTGAAACCGTTTTATGAATGAAAGGCTGGACGCATGTAAGCCTGTGATGCCACACGCGATTTGACATGGATATGCCACGAAACATCCGGCATTGAAGAGGCTGGATTGCCTTTCGTCAATCGATGTGTTCATGCTCATGCCGGGTAACGGATTTATTTGAAACTGAGAACGAACGTCGTGATGTATTTTGGTAGACAGAACAGCCCTGAGCATGTGCAGGACACGGAACTGACTAAACACAAGTGTTTTTTCATGCACGAAACTGGTGGTCGATACGCGCAGTGAAATCATTTACGGTCTAGTTCAGCATTGGTGTCAAATACGAGGGTATAAATACAAATACAAATAAAAATGCACCCAATACAAATAATACAAATAATACAAATAATAATACAAAGTACAAATACATCCCCACCACAACAGCACAGTGACTGTCACTTTTGTCACTCTATCACGTTCGGTAAGTACTGAACTGCATCCAGGAAGCCGCGCAGCTGCGTAACCGCGTCCCAGTGCGTTGTGTTACTACACCCTGCTTGAAAGCGTAACAAGAAGTGTCCAGCCAAACGCACGCGCCAGCGGCCGGCGTCGGCCGTGCCGGGCAGCGGCGTTAGGCCGTGCCGGGCAGCGGCGTCGCCGCTGCCCGGCACCTCAGCCAGGCCTCGGCCTCCACCCAGCACCAGCGCCGCCAGTGTCACTCACTGTGGAACGGCTTCTGTCGGAAGATGCCTTGATACTCGGACACGTAGTCCTTGGGTGGGTTTTTGACCAGATGCTCGCGCGCCAGGGGCAAGTCACGCATGAAGCAGGCCGGCCTGCCCGGGCTGCTCCGCCAGCTGCGGGGTAGCTGATGGCGACAACACGGCTCAGGTGGCACATCAACTACAGCTGAGGAGGAACCACCGACGACGAACGGTTCAGATCACGCGAGGCAGCTGCTCAAAAATTGGACCAAATGCTCTGCAGGGCTGGCTTTGGGCTCAGCGCCACTGCTCAGCGAATCTTGTTACGAAGACCATTACAACTCCACGCCAGAAGAGTAACTCAAGTGTAACGGTTAACTTCGGGTGAAGTACTTCTAAAGTGTCACGCAACGTCATCAGGTGGCTGCCCCATGCCAGTCTTACCCCTTTCACCGTGTCATCCTGACCCCCGTGTCAGCCTGACCCCTCTCAACGTGTTAGCCTGACCCCGTGTTTGCCTGACCTCTCCATGACCAGTTGTCCCTCTGCCCTCAGGTGGCTGTCCTGTGCCAGCCTAACCCCTTTAATGACAAGCTGTCCCTCCGCCACCAGGTGGCTGTCCCGTGCCAGCCTGACCCCCTGTGCCAGCTTGACCTCTCCATGACCAGTTATCCTTCCGCCATCAGATGGCTACCCCGTGCCAGCCTGGCCCTCTGTGCCAACCTGACCCCTCCATGACCACTTGTCCCTCTGCCCTCAGGTGCCTGGCCCGTGCCAGCCTGACCCCTCTCATGACCCGCTTTCCCTTTGACGAACCGATTATCGAGCGAAGTTTTTGGGACGCGGACCCATATACTCTGCTACCCGAGTATTAAGGTGCCCAGTACTCTATCGGCAGCGCTACGAGGACAGCAAACCGCTAACTAGTCACCAAGAGGAATCGTGATCAATGCAGCCGCATACCTGCGGTGACCACAAAGTGTGTCATGGGCATTCCATGTGCACCTAATACGAGGCCAAATTGATCACGCCAAGTGCACCTCATAGGACAATGCTGCAGCAATGCGATATGCGCTCGTTATGTACTATGGAAAGCAGGTGAGTCCTGGACAGAGCACTGATGTTGACAGGGTATGCTGGGCTCGACCTGCAGAGATAGTAATGCAACAGCCGAGCAGCTTCGATAAACGTGGCCGACCTTGCCTCTGCGCTGTGCGTCTTCCACAAACCTTGACGATCTGCTGGGTGGGCGTGGCGTTACTGGCGTAGCCGGAGGCGCTGTTGTCGTTGATGGCCGCCGGTAGCGGCTCGCGTCCGTCGTGCATGACCCAGGCCGAGTGCCGCTCGGGCAGCGCCGAGCGACACAGCTGATGGGTCAGCCGCTTTACCTCCGGGGTCGCCATCACGCCGATCTCGCCAGTCGGCACCAGCGAGCGGATGAACCCGGTACCTGTCGGCACGTGAACCCGCTATATTTTGGCACGTGAACCCGCTACATGTCGGCACGTGAACCCGCCACCTGTCGGCACGTGAACCCGCTATATGTCGGCAAGGGAACCTGGTACCTGCCGACACGTGAACTCGGCTCACGCCAGCACGTGACTATGGTATATGACGGCACGGGAGACCAGTAGTTGTCAGCACGTGAAACAGCGCCGGTGCTGTCCTTCCGGGTGAGCCCCGGGAAACAAAGACGATGAGGGGGGGGGGGGGGAGATCCAGGCCTCAAGAGGCCCAGCAAGCAGTTGCAGTCTTCATTTCCTTTGAAGCCTTGCTTATGCATAGAAACTTGGAAACATTTTTGTAGTTCTAGACATGGTGTGACTGAGTACACTTAAATTCGGGCTCATTCTGTAAGCGTAAACCGAGAAATAACTTTATCTGTGACTGGAACGAATGTTAGCTCGCTAGTCATTCTCTCACCCGGGGCTGATGGGAGGAGAACATGAGCAATGTTAGCTGTACCTCTCTGATGGTAAGCGGCTGAGTTGATGTCACCGTTTATGTTAAGCGTTTTGGATGACATCACGTACCGAACATCACATCTGTGTGCCACGCGAACGGTGTGTTCAAAAACAAAAGCCTGATGAGAAGTGCATTGTACGGGTGCATTGCTTCATCTGGAGGGGCATTATTGATTTACATAAGGGGGAGGGGAGGAGCGGCTATTACGTGAGGAAGAGAACTGTTATTTACATGGGGAGGAAAAAGTTCACGCAGCTATGCTTCTGGTCCTACAAATATATGTGTGTCTACAATGCCTACAATGTCTACAATGTCTACAATGCCTGGAAAGACGTTGGCCAGGTTCGGGTGAATGTCACCGGCGTCACTCACCGTCCCGGATGAGAGGTGGAGTTGGCTTGTAGTGTGGGATGTTATGGGCACTAGAGTAGGACGTTGCGTAGAAGTCCATGTCGTACGTGCCGCCTCCCTGGCTTTGGTCGACATGTCGGCTTCCTCTAGTGTTACTCGTGAAATAATCCATGACGGTCTTCTCTTGGCTTTCCTTTGACTAACGGTCTCTTAACTGCGCAGATAATTTTGTACAAAATAAAAGTTGACACCGAGACCTGAGCTGTTTTGCGGAGGTTTTGCCCTCCGACCGAACCGCGGACTGCTGGCTTGAATCTGCACCAAGAAGGCAGGGAAGCAAGCTCCCAATCTTGCGTGTCAGCTGACTGAGCAGCCACGTGATCAGAGTATCGAACAAACCTCCGATCCTGAGCAATCGATGGGCGAATGGTTGAGCTCTGGACTGGCTGGGACTGCGCAGACATTTACGCACGGCAGCGTGAGTTCGGGCGCCGCGGGGTGGCAGCCGTACATCGCCCTCCGATAGTCTGAGGGTGCAAGTGTCTAGACTCGTCACCAAACTGTAGGACTGATTCCTGAGATAGCGAATTAATCAATGGGTTGGACGAACCTGGATCGGTCTCACTGTTTGGTTTCTTTTGCGACACAAGCACCTGTTGATCATTAGCGACGCTGTCTCTCTACGCCGATTGAAGCTTAGATCCCGGAACACATGTGGCACGCGGACTTGCCCGGTCCATAAAAAAGGCTATATTCCTAAAAAACGGCTATATTCCTAAAAAACGGCTATATTCCTAAAAGACACAGGAATGGCAAGGGGGTAGAGATGGAAAGAAGAATTTCAAAGAAGTACCTTGATGTGTCATCATGCAACATGTCCTTGGGTTGGACTGGACTGCAATGTTAGATAATCCAGCGTATCATGCTAAAGCGTTTTAAAGGAGAGATTAGGTTGAAATGAGTTTTGAGTCTGTTATGAAAACCGAAATGGTGAACACTAGATTAACATGGATCAATTGACCGGGACTGCATCGCCGGAATTTAATATTTGAAAACCCACACCACATGACTCACAGCATTAATCAAGCATTGTAAGATGATTTGACAGAGCAAATCAGTTTGACTGGACCGATCCAGAAAATTTAGTCCATGAAGACTTCAGCGACATAACCTGCGACACAAACCGAGGAATGAAAGGAATTTGTTTCTTGCTAGGAGTGCTCCGTCTGTTCTATTTCAACAGATGCATTGCAACTCAAACGTTATGGCAAAACAGCTAGAAGCGGTTGACCCATGAAATATTTTTAAATTTATTAGCAGTAATGCCCATCAGTCGTGCGACAGCTGTCCAGTACCAGGTGACGGCTGCCGCTCGTTGAAACGTGGGTAATCTCACGATGTCATCCTGCGAAAACATGATATACCAAACTGAACGAACTCGGCATGTATATCTCCATTTTTCTGGTTTTTGTGCGAGAAATAAGGCCATTTCTACTGTCTTATCACTGTCTGTCATTTACTGTCGTCAACAGCCATTTATTGTGTTTGCGTGATCGGCATTTCCAATACGAATCATTGCAATGGCTGTGAAAATATGGGTGATACAGTTGGCAATATCCTTTCCATTGCTGTTTTGCTACAGATCATGCACGAGTTACGTATTTTTTCCGTCATCCGCAGCTGCAGACGCCCTTAACCCACACCCATCCAGACCAATTCCCGTTGTATTTATGTCCGCAAGGTGCAAAACCTCTCATGAGGCTTGGCGAGTAACACACATACATGAGTATCACGCCTGCTGAGCTCTCCCAGCAGCACGTCTTCTTGTGAGCTCGGAGCAGACCAGCGGGTACTGTCGAGACGCATGCATCACATCACGCCTCTGAGGTCAGCCACTGCACATTCAGCAGATGTCTCAACCACTGCACGCCCAGCAGATGTCAGCAGTGTTGCAAGCAGACACTAATCGCCACGTGGGGCTGCAGCTCAAACAGAGAGGACGGGCTGCGTCATCGGCGGCACAGGGTGGGCACTGTGACGGTGTGAACGGCTACACATCCTACCTTTAGCGGTATGCATGTTCGATAATAAACTGATAAGCCATCGGCGCATACGTTGTTGCTCTTGGTAATGACAGGCCCCATTCGATAGGTGTAACCCGTAATGAAATGGTAGAAGTGATGCGTGTAATATATTACCCATACGAGTCTAGGCAATAAATAAGTATGGACATACTTCAAAATCTTTGAAATTTTTAGGTGGTAGTTTTAAACCCCGTGGTTCCTGTATCAATGTCGGACAGCGTTCCATCATGACGATGTTCCAAAACAGTGTGAATTTTGTTAGCGGGTCAGGAGTTGCCCGATATGAATAGCTGTCCTTTACCTCGCGATCAGAGCCTGCGGCTTCTTTCGTCTGAATGCAAGTGGATGATATGAGTATGAACTTGGCCTGGAGCCTCTTCCTGCATGTTTGGAGCTGCCAGCGTGCAGTTAAAGTGTGACACGTGTAATCTGCGAGCGGTTTGGTTTGGCCGGCCCACAAAACGGTCCTGCCAATTGATTTATGCGACGATCCCGCGCGCGACCCGCGCCAAGTCGCGGGCAGACGCTCACCGCGCTCCATCCGCGACCCAATCGAACTCGACCGGCTCAAGTCAGGCCGGCCGGCACGCGGCCGCATCGCCCGATCACATGCGAAACTCGGGCTTTTCTAGCATCCGACTGAAAGTTCTGTTCGACCAAACCGACGAGTCGGTGAATTTGATCTGAGTCTCGCTTTTGGATATTTTGCCTCCAGATCTGATTCCCACGGGATTTGGGTTAACCTTCGTAGGTATAAACACAACCTCCGGAGCCGGACGCCGCCACCGTGAGCTGGCGCGTGAGCTCGCGCGACTCAGTCCGCCCCGCCTGCCGATCCTCCAGGCGCGAGCGACGGCGAGAGGTCCGGAGATGCACGCACGAGAGAGAGGCCGTACTCCCGACCCGCACCGGTCACGTCCGACCGTCATCGGCGCCTGCTGACGGGCGCGGCACACGGCCGTCAGTAGCGCGGCCCGCCCCGGCGCCAGCGAGTCCCGAAGCTCGGACAAGCCGTGCCCGACAACAGCCTGCGCATGCCGTCCGCCGGCCGTCAGCTATGTCCACTCACCGCTCGCACAGCGCTAGATTGTGCCCGGCCGCGGGGCTGATAAGACGGCAAGGTTTTTCGCCGGGCGCCGGCGGTGTCGGCAGGCGGGTGGGGCGGCCTCCGTCCGCCGCCGCCCGGCGCGCGAGGCTGACTCCCGACGTCGGCTGACCGTCGCGTCGGCTGACCGTCGCAGCGAATGTCGGCAGTGTCGCAGTTCATGGCGGAGCGTCCAGTCAGGTGAGCGCGGCGGGGCTGGTCGGTGGCCGAGCCTCGCATCGGCTCTGGGCTCAGCTCTGGGGCCTCGCTGACCGTTCTGGGTTCAGCTCCAGTGGCAACCTTCTCGCCACGGATCCAGGGTCCTACCTGGGCCTGGGGTCAGACCAGGAGGCTGACTGACAGTCCTGAGGCCGCTGTCCGAACACGGGGTCAGCACTGTTTGGCTCCAGATTAACGTCGCCCCGCGGCTGTGGTCAGCGCTGGCCAGCCGACTGCTCATGTCGCAGTTCGCGGCACTGCAATCCCTGTCCCTGTACCGTCTGTTGCATCTGCCCTCCCCCCCCCCCCCGCCTCAGACACACCCTGTTCATACTTCGGGCACGGATCGAACTTCGGACGTGCCTTTACCTGCCCTTGCACTGGATGTGTGTGTCATTGCCAGTACCTGCGTCGTGCACAAATGTGCAGTCAACGGCTTGCGGGCGGCCGGCGGTCGTGGTGTTTTGTGATCCCACCAGTAAATGGTCCCACCAGCATGTGATCCCATCAGCAAGTGGCCCCATCAGGAGGTGATTCCAACAGCGGATGATTCCATCAGCAAATGATTCCATCAGCAGGCGATCCCATCAGCGGGTGATCCCGTCAGCAGGTGATCCCGTCAGCAGGTGATCCCGTCAGCAGGTGATCCCGTCAGCAGGTGATTCCACCAGTAGGTGATCCCATCTCAGCAGATGATCCCGTCGGCGGGTGATCCCGCTGGTGGGTGACCCCGTCGGCGGGCGAGCCCGTCAGAGGGTGATTCCGTCAGCAGGTGATAACGTCAGCGGCTGATCCCTCCTGACGTCTGACCTGGTCAGGCCAGCCGTCCCAGCGCGGCGGGCCGCTCTGGCCGACATTTTTAGACGGCGCCGCCTCACGCTTGGCACGGCAGCGCGGCGCGGAATCTCGGCAGAGCCATCAGTTATATCGCGTGCATCAATACGGCGGGAAGTGGGACGGCAGGACGGCAGGTTAATGCCACATGTGGTTGCGCGCGCCGGCGCCCGCCGTCAGCGGGAGTCAGCAGCCGCCTGCCATGTTTGTTTACCTTTCATCGGGCGGGGCGGTGCCGGCGGCGGCACGCTCGCCCAGGTCGGCCAGCAGTGTGCCCGTGCCATCAACACAGGGACTCATCAGATAGTGACGGCGGCCGCTGTTAGGAGGTGTTTAGGCTTATTATGACAGCGCAACATACAAAACTTTTTGGAGATGAATGTCTGTGGGCGTGCAGGACTATGTTATGCCCGCGAAAACCAGGGGTGACATTTTCGGGTGCCACGATGCGTGGAAGGAAGGCCAAAGTGGAGGAACACAGACGTTGAAGAGAGCAGGCAAGTGCGCTCTGATGCAAGAAGGAGAAGGAAGCCAAGAGGAAACTGATAGGCCGGTTTGTAAAGCAAAGGAGACAGGACATCAGTGGCATACTTGAAAGGTCAGTGAGGCCGAGGACAGCCTCCATCGCCGCCGATCACCGCGCGCTCTCCGGGGACGAACGCTCGAGTTGGCCGGGAGCGTGGGTGGGTGGCCCGCGGCCGGGGCTGGCAGCCGTGGGGAGGGCGGGAGACACCTCCCAAAATAGCGCTTCGGCCCACACGCACATCTGCCCGCCGTCGCCTGGAAAACAGCGTCCGGAAGTGGCCTCGTCGCCGGCGCCGGCCGCGAATGAATGGCCTCCTCCAGCGGCGCGACGCCGAAACTCGAGCGGCTCTAGCGGCGGCGTGTTGCGCGCTGTTTGGACGGCCGCGCCGCGCCCCGCTGGCGCGCGCCCAACATCAGCCGCTGCCGTCGTCAGCCCGGTGCGGGCCCGACGCGGGCCGCAGTGGGCCGACGGGCGGCGGGGCGGCCGGCGTATGGTGACCGCGCCGTGAC